AAAATACAAAAAAAAATTAAATACCTACTAATCATTCATATTATTCGTATTTATACATTAGGTTGCCTCTCATTAGTACCTTTGTGATACACGACATTTTTTGTTTATATAGGCGCAAAAACAAACAACGCAGCATGTTTCCGACCGTGAACGTGCTCAGTATAAATGATATGGAAAAACTGAATGTCTAGAATTTAAACACAAACTTTTAAGGATTGGCCTTGTGATTTGTGTCATGGCAAATCAAGCGTATCGGAAATTGCAAGTCTTTTAAATTCAACGACAATCGATGGATCAATGTATCTCCAGACATGAGAACTTCCTCACTTTGGAATTTTCCTATCATTATCGTAGCGTAATTCATTGTTATCAATTTTTCTAAGCACCAACCAGTCGTTGCACGTTTTTGTTGGTTTACTGTTTCGAAGCTGATTACTAGGAGCCCACCTTTAGGGTAATGTGCGTGGGTAGCAGGCACGTCAAAGAGTTAAAAAAATTCCAATTGTAGTTGGTGCGTTCATCTTCATTTGGTGAGGCATCATAGATTTGAATGAATGCATTTTCCAATGATCTTATTTGAATTATTAGTTAGGTCATTACATCTTATTCTTAGCGCTAAAATTGCTCGCACACGCAACCATTCATTATTTTGGTAGTTAGAAAATTTTGGAAATACATGTGATAAGTTTTGTCTTTTGACAGACAAAAATTACAGAAATTATTGGAAATGATATTATCGCTCGATCATCGGACAGGTACTTGACCATTGCGAAGTCTTAGCAATTGCTCCGAGGAATCTTCAGATGATGTATCATTAAGCAATGTAATCAATGTTTGTGTCAGTTGCAGTTTCTTCACAAGCGCCATAAGATTTACGGATTTGAGGCAAGCGTTTATTTGTCGCAGACTAGAATCTTTGGACATTACTGGCCAGTATTTGCCGGAAATCGCCAGAACAGTAAAATCAATGCTCCTCCAAAACATTCGAGTCTATTGCGTAAATCTTTTAATGTTCGTAAGTGCTTTATGGCACGTTTAGCGTTTTTTTAATATGTTTATTTATTTTTTCATTTTTTCTTACAAATATCAAATTTCAATCCATCTCAATTACATATCTGTCATTATTACCGTCAATTAAATCCTGTCATTTGCGTTTTGTTATTCCAATTGATTCTTTTTGTTATAACAGTTTTATATGATGACGTTTCATGCAAGTCACGGGCATACTGCGAACGAGATAGAAAATATCCATGTCCTCTCTTGGCTCTAAACTAATCCCTGCCATTTTCAAGCTTAATGTTTCAGCGTTCTTGAGTTTTAAGTGGAGTAATAACACGACTTTTCTTTATATATATGATATACAAAATTCTACAAAAATACTTCACGTCACATTTAATTCAATATTCTTAAATGTGATGTAAGGTAGGACTAAGCATCCTAACTATCTAGTATGGCCAGCATAAATCAATAAGAGTAATTACTGTTCTGTAGAAGTTCAGTGAATTGAAGGCATAAATCATTACAATGTTATAAAAACAAATACTCTCAAGAAATAAATAAAGAGAGCAAGAAGGGAAGAGAAAGAGAAAGAGGAGCAAGAAGAGAAGAGAAAGAGAAGAGGAGCAGAAGAGAAAAGGAAGAAGAGGACGACGAAGAAAGAAGAAGAAGAAGAGAACGGGACGAACGAGAAGAAGAAGAAGACACAGATAGAGAGAGAGAGACGAGAAGAAGAAGAAGAAGAGAGGACGAAGAGAGAGAAGAAGAAAGAAGAGACGACGAAGAGAAGAGAAGAAGACGATACGACGACCGAGAGAGAAGAAGAAGAAGACGATACGAGGAACGACAAAGAAGAAGAAGAAATGATACGACGACGACGAAAGAAAAGAAGAGACGATACGACGACGAACGAAAGAAGAGAAGAAGAACTATACACGACGACGAAAGAAGAAGAAGAAGAGACGCACGGACGAGAGAAGAAGAAGAAGGAGACGACGACGAAAAGACGACGGAGAAGAAAAGAGAGAAGAACGACGACGACGACCGACGAAGGAAAAAGAAGAACGACCGACGACGACAAGAGAAGAAGAAGAAGAAGAAGACGACGACGAGAGAAGAAGAAGAAGAAGACGACGACGACCAGAGAAGAAGGAAGAAAGAAAAGACAGAGAAACGACGACGAGAGAAAAAGACAGAGAACGACACGAGAAGAAAAGACGACGACGACGAAGAAGAAGGGGAAGACGACGAGAAGAGAAGAGACGACGACGAAGAGACAGACAGAAGAAGACGAGAAGCACGAGCGACGACGAAGAAAGACAGACGACGACGAGAAGACGAAGAGAGAACGAGAGAAACACGACGACGAAAGGAAGACGACGACGAACGAAGCAGAGACACGACGACGAAGAGGACGGACGACACGAAGAGAAGACGACGACGACGAAGAGAAGACGACGAACGCGAAGAGAAGAGACGACGACGAAGAGAAGACGAGCACAGAAGACAGACAAGGAGAGACGACGACGAAGGAGAGACGACGACGACGAAGAGAAGAAGACACGACGACAAAGAGAAAGAAGACGAGACGACAAGAGAGAAGACGACGACGACAAAAGAGAAGAAAAGAAGAGAAAAGAGAGACGAACAAAGAAGAGGAAGAAGAGAAGAATAAGACGACGACGACAAAGAGAAGAAGGAGAAGAAAGACGCACGACGACAAAGAGAAAAAAGAGAGAAGACGACGACGACGACAAAGAAGAAGAAGAGAGAAAGAGACGAGAAAGAGACGAGAAGAAGAAG